AAAAAAAATTTTTTTAAAAATTTTTTTTTTTTTTTTTTTTTTTTTTTTTTGAGAGGTTTTTGCTATAGGGCATGTACGCTCACCAGAAAGAAAGAGACAGAAAGCGAGAAATCACCCCCCCAGGGAGATGGCCACGTAGCAATCCCTTCTCCTCCATTCTCCTCTCAGGATCTTGGGCACGCATGCACACACGCCCGGCATGAGTTTAAGCCACTGGGTCCAGCAATCAGACCATGGTCGACTACATGGGAGTCCAGCGACATAGCCATTATGCTAACTGCTGGTCCCAATAAAATAATTCTTAAAAAAAAGTTTTGGGAACAGCAGGTGTCATTGTGGTTAAGGCGCTGGACATTCCCACATGGCTGACCATGGTTCGAGACCCGGACCTGGTGACTTGTTTTCTCACATTCCCTCTCTCTCTCTGTGTTTCTCTCTGGTCAATTTAAAAAAAAAATGAATAAATAAATAACTTTTTAAAGTTTTATTTTTTAATAGTAATAGTAATAAATTGTCTTTTAAAAATTTAAGTCTATTACCAAACAAAATTTCAATAGATTTAAAATATATTTTTACTTTTGGTAAGCTGAATTTATAAATTTCAGTAAATACTGGATAGATAAAGAATTTGATTATAGGGAACCAGCAGTTAGCGTAATGGCTATGTCTCTGGACTCCCACGTAGTCAACTGCAGTTCGTGTCCCAGACCCGGTGGCTTAAAAAACTCATGCCGGGCGTGTGTGCGTGTGTGCCCAAGATCCCGAGAGGAGAATGGAGGAGAAGGGATTGCAGTGTTACCATCCCCCCTGGGTGGTGATTTCTTGCTTTCTGTCTCTATGTCTCTCTCTGTCTGTCTGGCGAGCGCACACGCCCTATAGCGAAAATCTCTCCCCCCAAAAAATAAATAAAATAAAAAAAAAGAATTTGATTTTACATATCACATAACCAAAACATTAAGAAAAATTTCTCTAGGCCCAAAGCAAAATGTATTATTTACAATCCAACTGTCCTTTTTATTTTTTTTTTTTTAAGAGAAAGAGTTTTGCTGGGACCAGCAGTTAGTGTAATGGCTATGTCGCTGGACTTCCATGCAGTCGACTGTGGTTCGCATCCCAGACCCAGTGGCTTAAAACTCACACCGAGTGCGTGTGCGTACGTGCCCAAGATCCCGAGAGGAGAATGGAGGAGAAGGGATTGTAGTGTGGCCATCCCCCCTGGGGGTGATTTCTCACCTTCTATCTCTGTATCTCTGTCTTTCTGGCGAGCACACGCACGTACAGCGAAAAAACCCCCCCAAAAAAAAAAAAAAAAAACCTAAAAAAAAAAAAGAGAGAGAGAAAGAGTTTTGCTATAGGGGCACACTGCTGGCTGGAGAGAGAGAAACAGAAAGCAAGAAATCACTCCCCAGGGAGTATGGCCATGCTACATGCCTTTCTCCTCTCAGGATTTTGGGCATGCATGCACATGTGCCTGGTTTGAATTTTTAGCCTCCAGGTCTGGGACTCAATTGAATCAGCTGTGTGAAAGTCCATCAATGTACCCATTACACCATCTGCTGGTCCCTAACAATCCAACTCTTTTATTTTTTATAATTACAAAAATAGTAGAATCTGGACAACCATTAAGTGATATTTCTCATATGAAAGGTAATTAATATCATCAAGCTCCATATTTGATATTGACCTTTTTATTATAGAGTGTATTGTATTTTAAACTGTTAGCTGAAACTAAAGGTAAAGATATGGAGGAAGGACAGCTATTTATAACATGTATGACAGCCCTTAATGTTTAGTGTTTAAAGATGTATTAAATGGGAAAACAAAAACTCAGAAATGGGAAAATGAACAAAAGGTACAGACACATAATTCAGAACAACAGAATTGCTTTTAAAGAAATATGGGGAGAAATGGTCAAAGAAATATAGCTTATAACGATTAATAAAATTGTTGCTGGTCTAAACCATGCCCAGTGATCATGGATTAGAAATCAGGATTTGCTTTAGTTGGGCTAAATTATAGGAATATAGGAATTATAAGAATGATAGCGGTAAAAGTGACTAATTTTCTTGATATTTGAATAATTTCCTATTTTGCTTTTAATCTATATAAATAATTTTTTAAAAATTACTTATTACTTCCATAAGCAAGTGACAAAGAGATAGCACCTCTTAACAGGGTCTTGAAGCCATGATCCAGCCCAGCTTCAGCCATCCCTGGATCCTGGGCATACACACCTGGTGTCCCTAGGGACATCATTAGATGCAGACCCAGTGCTTTTCACATGGTTCAGCTTCACCATAGTGCATTTTACTGCCTGTACCATCATTCATTCCCTTTATATAAATAATTATTGATGAGAGCAAGAATGTTTCTTAGTAAATCTAATGAACAAATATAATTTCACACTTAAAAATAAGAAGTAGAAGAAGAGGTGTTATGGAAAGATGTTCATGGTATTGAAAGTGAAAAACTAGACCAGGAAACAGTATGTGGTATTTCCATTAAACAACATAATCTGTACATCTGTATTTATCTGTATGTAAGTGAATGTAAATGAATGTGTGATATATTAACACACACAAGGAAAAATATAATAGGAATATTTAAATATAAAGCAACTAAGCCTAAGCCTGGTTGGTATATTTGGGGTCCACAGAAAATACAAATATTATAAACCTTGAAGGATAAGGAATATGGGGAAAAAAAGGAATAATGGTAACTCACCTCTTCTCATAACAGGGATTAACTCATTTTATCGACATTAAAATAATGTATTTTAAAGTAATATATTTTAATGTTTATTTGAAATTTGTTTTTATTTTAGTATATAGTATCTCAGGAAAGAAGCAATTTCTTTAGTTTCTTTTCTTTTTATGTTAAAGTCAAATTAATTTTAAAACCTTTTATTTAAGAATAGTGTGTATATGTTATTTTCTTACTATGTAAATTTCTTTCTCTATAGTTCCTTTGTCTTTATGTATATTTAGAGGGGTGCTTGGAACAATGCTCACCAGATGGTAATACTTTATATTCAGGATTTAGGATATTTGTTACTTTCCACTTTGTATTTTTTACATGTCCTGACATTTTTAAAATAATGGGCATATATTTTATAAAAATAAAGTCATTGCTTTAAGAAAACAAGTATTCATATTATTGTCTAGGGAAGGCCCACATATTCCCCAAGCCAGCAATAATGCCGTCAACTGAATGAGGGATTTTTACTCTTTATTATGAGATACCCCAGTGTGACTTAAACTTTCAAAGTTCTCAATTTCTTAAAGGATGAGACTTTCTAGAAAAGTGGTAAATCTAATGATGTAAGTGCATGACTGGACAGATAGAATTTGGGAAAGAACTACAGCATAATTTGAAGTCTTGCTGCATCATAGGACTTCACTATTCTGAAATGCTTCGGCAAGTTAGCAGTGTATCTGCTTCTGTCATTTCAGTATTTACCTACATTGTCTTAACCATCAGAGAATCCTTGTAAATTTTGTCCTATAGAATATTAGTAATAAGAAACCAATACATACAAGGACCCACATAACCTAATAAATATAAAAACAACTGCTTATCCAGAAGACATTTCTTAATCTGATATATCAGCTTCATCAAAGAACTATAGAGAACTACAGAATTATGCTGTAGTTCTTTCCCAAATTCTGTCTGTCCAGTCATGCACTTATATCATTATATTTACCACTTTTCTAGCTTCATCTAGCTTTTCTTATTTTTAGCTTTTACTTTCAATCTCTCCTACAATATAATCCTGATAGATAAGTTATTATAATTATAGCAGAGTTAAATCTTCAATTAGCAATAATCGCGCCTCGGATAAACCTCATTGGCTACGATACTGCCACTGCGCAAAGCTAGCAGAGTTAAATCTTATTATAGTATTTATTATCAAAGATTGTGGAGTTTGACCATTCTTTTTTTTTTTAAAGAATTATTTAATTTAACTTTATGTATACACACTTATATAAACATATATACACACACGTGTATATGTGTGTATGTATACGCATACACGTGTATATACGTGTGTTTATATATAAAGTTAAATTATATATGTGTATATATTTATTTGATCAGAGAGGGACAGAGTAAGAGAGAGAGAGGGAAAGTGAGAGAGCAAACCACCAGGTAAGGGCCCCGAACTACCCTTGGCCGTGTGTCCTTAACCAGCACGCCACATGCCAGCCCCGGAGTTTGACCATTCTTGAGTTCCTGGTCATTCCCCTTCTGTCTCTTACCAGATAATTTTACTACTTTACAAATTCCAGTTTCCTTATCTGTAAAGGTGACTATGATAATGCCAGATTTAGAGAATTGTGACCTTTAAAACATGAAATTCTGTTTATGACACATTAATTTAACATAACAGAAAACTAATATTGGCTTAAGCAGAGATTTTAAAATTTAATGCAAAAAAAAAAAAAGACCAAGCATAGGCAGTCCACAGGTGGTATAGCAGTTAAATAATGCCATCAAAGATGGGGCTCTTGGGAACCAGCAGTTAGCGTAATGACTATGTCGCTGGACTCTCACGTAGTCAACCGCGGTTTGTGTCCCGGACCCAGTGGCTTAAAACTCACGCCAGGCGCGTGTGCGTGCGTGCCCACGATCCCGAGAGGAGAATGGAGGAGAAGGGATTGCGACGTGACCATCCCCCCTGGGGGGTGATTTCTCGCTTTCTGTCTCTATGTCTCTCTCTGTCTGTCTGGCGAGCGCACATGCCCTACAGTGAAAATCTCTCCAAAAAAAAAAAAAAGATGGGGCTCTTTTCATCTTTCTGCTCTACCATCCTTAGCATATGTGGGCTTTATTCCTAAGTATTTTGTCTTAAGGACACAAGATTGCTGCTATAAGCAAAAAGTGAGAAGAGAAGGATCAAGGTCAAAAATGCCTTTCTCCCAGTGAGTCTCGCTCTTTTCATTGATGAAACAACTCCCTAAGAACTTCTGCCTGTATATCCTTGGTTAGGCTACTCTAGTGGCAAGGGTGTCTGGAAAGCACATACTTTAAGCTGGGCATATTGTCACTCTGATCGGTATTGGGATATTTCTAGTAAGAAGAGGAGAATGAATATTGGGTAGGAGTTTATAATATCTGACACTGAATCTGTGTGTGTGTGTATCCACATATATGTATTATGAATATACATGTCCACGTATATACGATACATATTCAAATATATAACATATATGGATATATATCCATATATGTAATACATATCCATATATCATATACATTATATATCATATATATATCATATGATATACAATATCAATATTATATAATATACAATGTGTGTCCATATATAAGATATATACACTCTATATCATATATAATACACTATATAGATATCATATATAGTTTTAATCAATAACTGATAACTTTTGTCACGTTAATAAGTTTTCTACCTATGAATTTTACTCCTGTATTTTTGGTCATAAAATCATACTTATTTTCTTTCCTAGTTTTATGACATCCACGAGAACATTGTAATCCCTTAATGTGAAAGTATTGAACAACTGTCTTGAGGCTGCATGTGACAGCCTCTTCTTTGCCTCCAAACTAAATTTGTGATTATTTTGATATGGGTAATGCTATCAGGAGTATCACTGCAGACTGAATTTTTGTCATACCCTTAATTATTTCTTACCAAGAGTTAGAATGTTAAAAGAATTACATATTTCTGTGAATCTTGATGGTTTTCCAAAATAATCATATACTGTTAACAAAGCTTCCAGCAGTATATGGATTTTCTTTAACCTCAATTAGCATTGGGCTTTTATTCCCCTTAGGTTTGATAGAATTAATGTTCTGTAGAGGTAAACCCAGTAATGCTTCTTCATTTTAGTTTGTATGTTTAGATGCCTAAGAAAATACAGTATCCTTTACTTTTTTATTTACTAATTGTTTGCTTGGTTTGCCTTTCTTTTCTTTTTTTTCTTTTTTGACTTTCTAATGTTTTCTTTTGGCTTTTTTTATTTTTTTAATTGCCAGATGTCATGCATGCTCACTAAAGAGAGAAACAAGAGGGGCTGGCAGGTGGCATGGTAGCTAAGGTGCTGGACTCCCACATAGCTAACAACGATTCAAGTCTTGGACCTAGTGACTTGCTTTTTCACTTTCCTTCTCTCCTGAACCTAGTGACTTGCTTTTTCACTTTCCTTCTCTCTCTCTGTGTATCTCTCTCTGGTCGTACTAAAAAGTAGTAGTAATAAAATAGTTCTTAAAAAAAAAGAGAGAGAAACAGAGAAAGAAAGGTCCCCCAGTGAGGTATGGTCATACTGCAATCCCTTCTCCATTTCTCTATTCTGTTGGGATTTGGGGCATGCACACACACTTGCCCAGAGTATTTCTCAAGCCACTGGGGCTGATTGGATCCTCAGTTGACCATGTGGGATTTAGCTCCCTTAGCCACTAGGCTATAGGGCTGGCCCAGGACTTGCCTTGCCTTACTTAATGTGATTCAAACACATTTGAAAAGAGGAAAATTTTTTTCCTTTATTATCAAGCCACCCAATCCAGGACTCACTGTGGAGTTGGCCCTGTGGGATCCAGCCACCTTATAACCACCACACCATCTGGCTGACTGAGAAGAACTTTTTTTTTTTTTTTTTTTTTTGAAAAATATATAAATAGATGTAAATTTTCTGAAAACTGTCTTAAAGTAGCAGATAAGCACTACTTTGCTTGGAGCAGCTGGTGATATAGTGGTGAAGGTGGCTAGATCCCACATAGCTGACTGTGCAGTCTTAGTCTGGACCTGGTGGCTTGAAAACCATGCTGGATGCATGAGAAGAGGGAAAATGGAGAAGGGATTGTGATGTGATTCTTCCCCATAGAAGGTGCTTTCTTGCTTTTCCTTTCTCCCACATTTCTGTCTCTGGCAAGTGCATGTGCCCTTTGGCAAATAAAAAGAAGTGCTTTGCCTAATAAGAACAGTTACCTTTCGTGATTTTCGTGACAATTATTTATTACAGATTAACTCTTCTCTCCTCTGCTGTGATATTTTGTTACAAAAATTTCATACATACAGGGCAAACTTTAAAAATTACTTTGGATATTTTTTGCTTATTCTCTTGGAACCCAAGGCAGAATACTAATTCAAAAAGATTGTTTTTAAAATGCAAATACTGCTCATTTTGCCTTGCTATAAAGAACACATCAGGGGGAGAGAATTGCTCTGCTTAGCACTCAAGAGTTTTACGTCAGTTTTACAAATAGCAAGAGTCTCATATGGCCTTGTCTTAGTATAGCATATACGGAAGAAGTACTTGAGTTAAGGGGACTGGATAAGAAAACTTTAGTTTTTATAATTCCTGATTCCAATCTTTATAGAATACATATCAAAATGTTCCATATATAAACATACATATTTGAGTAAAAGCCAAAGGATCCATACAGTTGGAATGGATTGGTTACTTCTAAAAGAAGATTTGAGCAAACTGTTAAACTGATTTTTTATATTAATGACTGTAATTGAAAATCCAGTTTATCCACTGTGTTTTAATCTGTTTAAAAAAATCCATTTAATTTGATCAGCATATCTTATTGGTTGCCATTTTTCTCTTTGCTTTGTAATCTGTGGAGGCCATTTAAAAATTTTCGCATGTAAAGACAGTTATTATGAAAGTCAGTTGGAATTCATGTAGTTGCTAACTATAATGTATTCAGTTTTGAAATGTGTTTTTAAAGTCTGGTCATCCAGTTCATTTACCTGCTTACTTTGAAAATGTTCTAAATGCTATTTTATTAATGATTCCCCTTTCAATTAAGTGGACCTTCTTATCACTAAACTTAGGTTTATCTTTAGTTTTCAAATATTAAATGGTAAGGATTACTTTACTCTGTAAGTTTTTTTCCAACACTTGATTACTTATAAATAATGGAGATAATTAATACTGTCTGTAATAATCTTGGAAAGATAAATGTAGGTTAATAAGTTGAGGATAAGAGATCAGTAGTATTGTGAATGACAATGACATATTATTTATAAGTAAAAGTATCTTCTCTGGTCATATTACCAAAGTCAGTTCTCCATATTCTTATTTCTCTGTCATAAATAGTTAGGCAGAATTCCATATTCTTTACTAATAAATTGTTTTGATTTAGGCTGCTTTCTTTTAAAAAGGACTTCCATACAATTCACACCATTTTGAAATGTATAAAGTTTATAGAAGGGTTGTGGTTTAGGATGATACTATAATCTATAGCGTTCAAATGTCTTTGGAATAGTTTTGGCACTCATAAAACAAAAAGGGTGATTAAAGTTTTCTGAAGACAAATCCTAAAATAGAAAACCAGTAATGTAATACTGCTTTTGGTATCATTATTCAGAGATTGAAAAAGTATATAGCATCAAAAGCAATGATATGTTTTCATAAGCAGTTAGTAATATCTATTATTAAAACTAAACAGTTGAATTTCTCAATTTTCAGATATTCCAGTCTTAGGTGTGGGCCAAACTTATTTTATAAATACACTTTTGGCTTTACTTTAAACCTAATCTTTTGGAAAAACAATGAAAGATCATGACTGACTAACTAATAGTCTCTTGGAAAATGTTGGTTTGTTGAATTCTGCATTTCCCTTCGTGTGCTTTTTTCTTTTCTCCTGTCTCTTCTCATTCTGTAGATTCAGATCCAGGACATACAAGTGAAAATTGGGGGGAGAGACTTATATCTTCTTACAGGACATACTCAGGTAATTAGATTATCAGGTGCACCTGTTTAGCCAGTGGTTTCTGTCACATTTTACATTAACAGTTATACTATCAGTAACTTATTCTCAGCTCAATATGTAGTTATGTTTGGTTTGTAAAATTAACTCCATGAGCGACACCGTTTTTGTTCTTTGATAATTCGGTGCATCATATCCAACACATACTGTGTGACCATTATAAACGGGACTGCTGTCTACCTCCACTACGGTTTTGTGGGTGGGAACTCTGGACTGAGGAAGTAACCACTTGAGCTAAAGCCACCCCATCTACTCAGGTTTTGTACAGCACATTCAAAAACTCCACTCATGTAGAAAACAATGTGAAAGTTAACCCTTGCCATTTTTTAGTGCAACCACCCGTAAAGGAAGGTATTCAGATACTCAAGGTTCTTAGTCTATTTTGTTGTATACCCTTTACAAGGTATGCTAAGTATACTGATTTTGGTAGACAGTGTTATCTTACCCTTCAGCCATGTGATTTAATTTTCTAAAAATTTTATTTATTTTTCTAAACTCTAGTCTATTGACTCTGTTACACAGGTTGAATTTATAAGTGAATTAAAATGCCAGGTTACTCGGAGAAATGACATTACTAATAACTGTGTTAGAACTTCTCTATTCAGCTTCGTCATTATAACGTTAATGAGTCATAATCGCTCCAGATGGAGGAATGCAAGAAAATATATAAATAGTGTAATTTTAAAGTAGAGAATAAGTACATCCTTTAGTATGTTAAAACTAAGCGGTGTTTCAGTTGTCCTTTTTTTTTGTTTTAATGGACTGACATTCTTACCATTGAGCTTTTTTTTTTTTTTTTTTTAAGAAGTTTTTGCTATGGGGTGTGTGCACTCACCATACAGACAGAGACAGAGAGACAGAAAGCGAGAAATCACCCCCCAGGGAGAATGGCCACGCCGCAATCCCTTCTTCTCCATTCTCCTCTCAGGATCTTGGGCACGCACGCACACGTGCCCAGCGTGAGTTTTAGGCCACCGGGTCTGGGACGCAAACCGCGGTCGACTACGTGGGAGTCCAGTGACATAGCCATTACGCTAACTGC